GGGCAGGACATAGGGACATACAAATGACTCTGAAGGCTGAGGTTAAAGGAATGGCCCAAAAACACTCCTCACCCTTGGAGCAGGGAGAAGTGAAGGGTGCTCAGTCTCTAGGGAGGTGAGCTTAGTAAAAGAAAATATAGTCTTTGAATCTTGAAAAAGGGAGCAAGGTGCACAGCATCAGAATCCTGGAGCTGTGTAGGACATACAGTGTAGGACGTATGGGGCTGCCTGTTTTGCTATCAGGTTTAACACTTCCTCATTTGGGAAGCTGGAAGTGATGGCAGCGATGAGCAAGCAGACTGCAACATAGATGATTCCAGGGGTGAAGCAGTGATGAAAGTAATTAAATCGAACAAGAACTGAAGCAATTCTAAATATTTAAATATTGGCTAACCAAGTAATGCATAACCTGCAGGAACACAACATAATGAAAAAAAAAATACAAACAGGCCACAGGAAAGATAATAATAAATAAGAAAGAAGCTGACAACCCCACGCACCAAAGAGACGAGGAACAAAACCTAAACATTCGGAGTCTGTTTGTGGAAGCATGAGCAGAGAAGCCCCTACCTCCCCCTCACTAGCTGCCTCGTCTAGATTTTCCAAGGGAAGACCAAGGCATCATGACTTTAACATGGTTGCTATTTTTTGTTTCTTAAGAGACATATTCAATCCTAATTAAATACATCAAATGTTTCGTTGTACTCTAGGGAACCGCTTTATGAACGAGTCAATAAGTAAAATTAAGTGGTCAGCCGAAAGGAGAAGAGGTCAGTATGAGGCAATTATTTTGGTGAAGAAAGAAAGAGATGCTGTGAAAGTCTGACCAGCATGAATCACATGACACGTGTCGGTTTTTCAAAGTTAGTTCCTAGTTTTGAAGCACCAAAGAAGCAGTACATAAGCACTGATCTTAGAGCTGTTCAGCACCTTCTCATTGGAAGGCTGGAGCTACGAGTCGGTGCTGAGAATAAAATCTGTTTTACAAATATTCAACGTATACTCCAAAAGGTCTGCTACAAAATCTATTCTGTCTTTTTTTTTTAATTGAATGATGTCTTGATGTCTTCTGTTTTTCACAGACATACTTTACATTGCAATGAAGCTGGTGACTGTGTCTGCACTTCTTTGTGCAATGATCACTCTGATCGTTGCTGCTGGTGAGTGTTGCAGTCTAACGTACATAATGTGCATATGTGTGAACTAATCATACAAATAACAGTATGAATATAATTGTCAACTTTGACGGTTAAATGTTTTACTTTGTCCTGCTCTTCCAGAAGAAGGTGCGAAAGAGGAAAGGTCATCAGGTTGGTCAACATTTTCAGGATTTTCACTGAAATTAATCACATTTCTGTGACGCTGAACAGAAGAGCATCACATCAATATCCTGCTTATGTGCAGTTAAATCTTCAGCACAAAGTTGTTTTGAGGCCCTGGAGAGAAAATATTTCCAGAAATGTTACATATAACCAATATGTTAAAATACACCAACAAATATGTACACTTTAAAAATCCTTAATTACTTTTACTCAAGTATTATTTCCTTGTCATCAGAAGAACATCTTGTTGAGAAGAGAGGGTGGCTTTGGTACAGCCATCACGGTTGGTATAAGTATGGCAAGAGATACTACCGCTATTTTCCCTATCGTTTGGATTGGGCTCATGCTCAGGTAGAAACAGTGATTTGGATTTTTTCATTTGTCCCATCTCCGTTAATTCCCTTTAATGTTTTATAAAGTCCAGCTTGGTTAAATCGCTTTTTTTTTTCTTTGAAATTTCTGGTGTCTGTTGATCTGCACTACAGAGATACTGTCAGTCTATGCGTGCAAACCTGGCATCTGTACGCAACCTCAGAGAGTACCGGGTGATTCAAAGTGTCATATATCGTGCCACTCACGGTTACCCAACTACATGGATTGGAGGCTCTGACGCTCAGAGGGTATATTACTGATCATGAAACAAAGGCTTGCATATCAAGCATTTTACTTTGATAATATTCTATTTATGTACATAGTTTTAAATGCATTATTGTCCATTTTGTTTTGTTTTATAGGAGCGTTATTGGTTTTGGGCCGATGGAACTCCTTTCAGTTTTACGTACTGGTGTCGTGGAGAGCCTAACAATGTTCGCCGCAGAGAGCACTGCCTGCACATGAACTTTTCAAGTAAGTATATGAATAAAGTGTAATGCTGATGTTCTGGGTATCCAGACTTGTTTGGTGTGTCAAATACTTACACTGGTTGTTTCAGTTCAAAATAACAGTATCTTTCAGTTAATATTACATAACAAATCATTGTGGTATTTCATTAAATATGAATATATATGTATATATCAAATGATATCTATATATTTATGTATTTATATATGTTGTGAAACTATAGTCAAAAGGTGGTTTGCTGTCATAAAAAACGAAATCTTATCCTCAGTACAAATAAGTATGTGTTCATGTTATCATGATTTCACTTAATGTTGGTTTTTGGTGCTTAAAGGATACAACTGCATGAACGATATCTACTGTCAATACCGATACCCATATGTCTGCGTCTGGAAAAGAAGATAATTCCTGGCATGATGGCATGGTTGACTGGACAAAGAAGCAAATGATCTCATATATCCCCCTTGAAAAATCCCATTTTACATCTTTACTTCTTTTTCTTTGCTGTAACGCTATATAAGGAACGACACGACAAGTGACATAAAGTGGAGTTTGGTTTTCTCTTTCAATAGGAGCAAACTGAATGTGCAATGGAAAGAATGCTTTTAGTAAATCTTTATTTTCCCGAATGAACTTTTTTCATCTTCATGATTAAAATCTCAAGCATTGAATCCAACTGGTCTGTGTGTCTGTTCCACATCTCACATATTTTGGGGTCTAATAACTAAAGTCTGAGACATCCACCTGCATCATTACATTTAAGAGCAATCACGTCTTCTGCTCTGCTCATCTGTGTCTTATGTGCATGAAAGCTTTATGGTAGAAAATGTGAACATGCATAATGATTGCTGTGAAATTTTAGCTTCATATACACTCAGAAAAATAAAGGTGCCAACTGGAACCAAAAGTGGTTCTTTAGACTGATGCC